CCCCCCCCCCCCCCCCCCCCCACCGGAGGGACCAAAATATATAACAACACAAATAATGTCCCCCAATCACAACCGCGCTTGGTGATGTTCCGACCCCACATCGCACCACGCCTCGATGGCGGTCGATGGCGCTTTGCATGGCAGTTCGCACGGAGAGAAATGAACTTGCACTTTTTGTTTCCTGTCGCCAGAAGCTCTTTCGTCTCGCGTGCGTTATGGACTGCGGAAGTACTGCGGACATTAATACAATGGCAGAAGGACCAGAGCCCGACAACGCGCCACCTCTTGGCAACCAGCCGCCACATGTTCCCAACTGCAATCGACTGCCCAATACTGCGAGAAGCATATCAATGGCTGACACGCTGTTTTTTTTCCCCCTGGCGCCCCTCAAAATGACTGCGCGAAGGAAATGTCCAAATCCATGTGCCCATTGACACCTGCGGGCGGGGACGGCTATCTAGGGTTGGACGGACTGCATCGTCGCACAGTGTTCCGGTGACGTGCGGACGTACGTGTTTCGAGGAGCGCAGCAAGGGTGTTCTGGAAAGTCATGTTGAGGAAGCCCGACCAACAGCGCAGTTAATGCTGAGCGGCATCACCGCGGCAGGAGGCCAGCTAAAACAGGCAAGGGCAAAGAGTCGCTGGGGTCCAAGCAGCTTTGGGAAAGCTGCACGCTGGCATGCAGTGGCAGCGATTGTTGCACATTTCCGGCACGCCCTCCGACCACAGCTGTCCGGATCTTGTGCACCGTGACGTGCGCGGGCCGCAGCCGCACGGAGAGGTGAAGGAGTCAGCAAGGACGTCGCTGCTGGTTTTGATTGGGAGCGCCGTGGAGGGCAGAGAGGGCAGGCTGGCACAGCAGGCTGGCGCGGCCGCGAAAAACAGGAAAGCGGACTAATGTTGCTCGTCGACGGACTTGGACACGACGCCCCGCAGGTGCAGGCCCGGCTGCTGTGGTAGTCGTGTTGCATGCGGTGGTGAGCGAAAAACTGCTGTCGATGCAAGGCGCATGCACGTGCACTGAAGCGGTTCCGGCGGAAATCCGCGGCCTGAACCCCTTGTTTGGCATGGTGTTGGCATGGGTGCGTGCCCATGCACGTGCCTTGTCGCTGCACGTGGGAGCCGGCAGGGTTGCATCAGCTGCGCAAATCCCCGCGGCCCTCGTGACCCGACGCGGTGGCGGTATCCCTGGACAAGCGGCAGCGCATGTCCCGCAATTGTCCCGCGCAGCCTCTCTGAAGTTGGACGCGCTCGTCCACGCTGCCGAAGCTTTGCGCCCTCATGAACAAGTGGCGCCCGCGCAGGAAGCAGAGCGCCCTCCAATTTCCGTCCACATGACTCGCAGCACAGTGCCGTCGATTGCAGCCGCGCACGGCTGTAGGCGTCGTGTGAGGGTTGACACGAATGTCGCGTCACAGCCAAGGCATTCCGTCGCATCCCGTCGCAGTCCAGCAGGCCAACACAAGTGCGTTCCTTCGTCCAGTGAGCGTGGCGCAGGGCCACCCCGGCAACACGCCGTGGCTTGCCGTTTGCGGTCGTTGCAATGCGTTGGAGATGGGAAGGGACAGCAAGCTGGCTGCAAGGGAGCGTGCGGCAGCTGCGGCTCCCTCTGCCATGTGCTCCTGCACGATGCCGCTGTGGGCGTCCGCATGATGCTTTGGGTGACCACGTCGCTGCCTGCCCTCAGGGCACGGGGTGGACCGCTCAAACGTGCAGCTGCTCGGGTCTGCCGTGAGGCTGGTGCCGCTGTCGCCCCCCATGTCCTGGTGCGAGACCTGGCTTCCGGGCACACCGACATGATGAGCGCCGCATCGAAGTGATCGCCAATGGCCTGCCTTTGTGGGGAGGTTCGCAACTTGCCGTTGACACTACACTGGTCTCGCCGTTTACTTCTGCCGGCGTGCCCCAGCGCCGGAGAGTGCTGGAGCAGCGTTGGCTGAAGCACGCCGAGCCAAAGAACGTACCTACCCTGAGTTCGCTGACGCCCGTCGGTGTCGCCTGGTTGTCCTCGGTCTTGAAGTCGGTGGTCGCTGGATCGCCGAAGCTGCCGCCTTAAGAACGCTGGGTCGAGGGCGAGCTCGTGGGCGACGCAACCTGGCGGCGGAAGGGCCAGACTCCCGGACTGTGAGTCGAGGAATGCGAGCTCCGCAGGCCCGACGGCGCGGCGGTGCTCGGCCGAAGCACGATCATCGAGGACGCGAAAAGCAAAGCATTGCCAGCCCCGATACGGGACATCGGGGTCATCGGGGTCGGCATCGTCCGTGGCGGGTGCCGGGCCATGCCGGGGCAAGTCAACCCACCGCGGCAGCGCAAAGCCGGCCTGGCGTGCGCCAGGTCTTGCACAGGCGACCAATCGTCAACAGTTTGCACCAAAGAATTGACAAGCGGTGCATCTCGTATACACGGAGGACGGCAACTGCGTCAGCCCAGGACGCCCAGTACGCTGCAGGTGCGTGCAAGGC